GTCGTTCGGTTCTTAGATCATTGAGGCGGGCAAGTCGGCTGAATCTCGACCATTCATCTGGAGCATCAATTGCTCGTTTGATGGGATCCCAGCCCAACCCGTGGATTCACGTTTCAGTTCCTTCCAAATTTTTCACTCCTTCAATTGATCTCATTTATTTTTAAACTTTAATCTATCATAATCCTTTCCAGTCAGTTCTTTAAACTTTTTAGCTATATTCTGCCAACATTCCTGGTTGAAATAGGTGGTTGGCCTATTCCCGATCTCAATCTCGGTGATGCAGAGATAGTATAAAATATTTGTAACTTCATTATCCCACATCACTGGGGGATCACCTTCATTTGTCTTAGTCATGGTGGAACTATATGAAGAATTACATATTGCATAAAGAAATTCATATTGTAACTCAACATGCATAAGAAAATTGTTGAAGAAATAATTGCACAAGCACACAACTAATTATGGACATCTTAAACAGCTGCCAATTTGCTAAAAAAAAACATATAAGGACACAAAGAAATTATGTGGTTCGGTCAAAGACCTACAATCATAGTAAGACATCGAACATGTTTTATTATGCAATTGTGTAAGGTTACATAGCTATGAATCTCAAGGGAGAACACTACAACATGCAATTCTTCATCTCTTTTCCCTTTGGTGCTAATAAAAGTACCACAACTAAACAATAGAATTAGCTATTAGAGGCTAATTCAATGAAAGAAATATTCATGAAGTTATTAGAGGCTTCGTCCTCTTGTTGTACCAAAACGAAATGTTCCAATGTCTTGACATTTCACATCTGATATAAAAATAGCTGATGCATTCTTCTGATCCGCATATTAACAGCTAGAAAAGTAGAAAGTCATATATGTGTCATATGAAAGCCTTTCATATAATGCATAAACAACAGAAACATGATGAATTTATAAACAACCATGGATCAAGATACAATTACAACCATTTTGTATCCGCATTTTGACCGCTATAAAAGTGGGAAGCCTTTCATATAAAACCAGAATTGATATATGCTATTATCCCCCCTGTATAAAAAGTACACAAAATAGAATTGATAACAACTTTAGCCTTGTATGGCTTGGCCAGGTGTTGGAGTGAATGCTACTTGTCAAGTTTAGGTATGCCACCAATTTCTTATGTATCAATATATCTAATGCCTAAACTTTCATCTTTGCATACAAAGCACTCAAATTTTTAATATCATGTAAAGAACTGTAAAGGCAATCAGTGCATTGAATAACAACTTTAGCCTTGCATGGCTTGCCACCAAATTCTTATATATCGATATATCTAATGCCTAAACTTTCATATTAGCATACAAAGCACTCAAATTTTAAAAGTGATATATGTTATTCCATGTATAGGATTATTCTAACACAATGGTAATTGCACCAATTCTATAGAAACCGCAACGAGAAGTATACATGAATTCATGCCACAAGCATTTTGCAAAAACTGCGTCCAAATTTTAGATCTAGCAAAAATCAGAGAAGAGTCGAAAGAACAAGTAAAGCAAAAACTGCATCCAAATTTCAGATCTAACAAAAGCACGAGTGAAACAAAAACTGCATTCAAATTTCAGATCTAGCAAAATCAGAGAATGGTCGAAAGCAACTAAACAAAACTACCTCCAAATTTCAGATCTAGCAAAATCACCCATCCAAAATTTCATAAAAACCGCATCTAACCTCTGAAACCAACAATGATGCATCCAAACAAAGATTCAACGAGGCACAAGTGAAGAGTCGAAAGCATACCATGCGGGAAACTAGGGTTTCGTTAGGAGGGCGAGGGAGAGCAGAGGGTCGAATTTTTACCTAATTTGTCTCAACGGCCACGAGGAAGAGGTGGTTGAAGGCGAGGGCGAGGGGGACTGGAGAGGGGCACGGGAAGTCTTTTTCACCCTAACGCGCGAACTAAACGCAAGACGCGGAGAGAGCCGAGCTTGTGAGAGTTCTCAAATTTCCTCCTAATACCGAGTCGAAGCGGCTCGAGAACGCTCGGGCAAACATTCTTTCCAAACACCATTGCGGCGTTTTCAAACCGCCACTGCGCCCAATAAGCTGCCCCAAACGGGCACTTAATATCAATAGTTCTAAAACATGTGAACTCTTGATAATTGTAAATTAAAATTCAGTCTTTGAATTTGTCTTTCCACCTCATACAAATGTCAAGCGATCTATTTGAACTATGGCAGCGATTTGAGAGTTGTTTATTTTGAGTTGTAATTGAATAGAAAATTAGTTACTGCGCTTCCTAGAATCATGAACTGTTGTTCGTTAGATATTTGGGATTTCAAGAGACTGCCAACTGTAGTCTAGTTTTGATACCAAATAGGAGATCTCTATGGATGCAAAATCCAGTCAAATGGTTAATAAAATTCTAAATTTTCACTCAAATTTGAGTCTGCTAATTTAATGTGAAATCTTCAAATAAAGCAGATACCCTAATGACAACTTTTGGACAATAATTCTTATTCAGGTTAGACAATTAATTTGGCAGATCTCTATCCTTGTTCCTTTTTATTTAAACATTCTATGATTTGTTTTGCATGTGGTTCAGGTTTAGTCAAGTTAGTTAAAATGTAGTTTAACTTCTGGTGGCGTGACTCCTAATCCCTGTGGCTTTATTTTGTTCCAAATTTTCGTACTAAACTTAGATCTATGGCTATCTTTATTTAGCATTTGCAAAGATTTGTGCTTATTTTCTGATTTACGATAAAAGAGAGGACATATTTCCCTAACTGAAAATTGACATCCTGATTTTGCATTAGTAAAGCCTAGATCGCAAAACATCCTGTATCAACTGCCTTCAGTCACATCAATTAGCTATCACTTCCGGTGAGTTAGTTCTTCTGTCAATTTTTATCATTCTCCATAAAAAGAATGTCACTGACATGCATGATAAATAAGACTTGGAAAATGCTGACCTAGTGAACAATTAAAAAGTAGAAAGATTTTACATATATAGTATTCAATTCTTATGTATTTACAAATCTAACACCTAAACTTTAATTTTTACATACATACCATCTTATATATATTTGCATGAAAAGGTGTCTTTAAAAAGTTCAAATGGTGGTGGTTTTTATGTGATCTGGAAGAGTTTGGTTGAAAAAATGTAAAACATAAAATTCAGGTGTTAGGCATGTAAATACGTAGGAATTAGGTGGTATGTATATAAATGCCCCTAAAAATGTACTGGCAATGGATAAGACTGGCATGCATTTGCTAGAGAAGTTCACGTTTAAATAGAACCTTGAACTAATGTAAACTTCCCAGATATATATGACAGTGGGCGTAGAAGTACAGAAACAGAGATTACAGATAATGGTATCACATTTAGCTGTTTTAAAGACCAACGTAGAATAAGAATAGCATATATTATAGTATATTGTAGAATTTGTGTTTTCTGTTTGTATGGTCATCTGAATCTTTAATTTAATAAAATAATAGAAAACTCTTCCAGATAGAAGCCTATGGCAATATCTTACAAATGAATATCTATGTAAGCACCAAAGTTGTTATGAATTTAAATCATTTGATGTTAAAAAGTATAAACAAGATAGTCCAAGTGCCATATAGTCAAGACGTACCTATGAGAACGGCGCCCCAACAAAGCACCAGATAGATCCACATCCAATTCCAAGCTCTTATGAAAGTTTCCATCGAAGTCACCATAAAAGTCAATCTAAAATTTGAGGTACCACAAGCAGAAATAACATTTCATTTCAATAGCCATTACTAAAGCAAGATGGGGCTGTAGAAGAAAAAGATTAAAGCAAAATTGTGTGGCCTGGAGGAATGCAAGTTCTAAATTTTGTAATATAAACATAATCGATGCAAAAGAACCCCAGACCATGATGCAAGAGTCTCGCGAACAAAGCACAAATTGCTTGGACCGAACCGGTCCAGGTTTTCACCCTTCAGAGGAGTCAGCATGTCCTCTTGGGCCACTCTTAGTTAACATCTTATTATATATTTGTTTTCGCGTGAATCTAGAGAGTTTCTTTAGAATAGTCCTCGGTGCCCGTTTTCTCCCTCAAGGGATTGGGTGGTGCTTCTGTTGTATCTCTGTTACAAGATGGTGATTATCTTCCCCTGTCCTCTTCTTTATCCTCCCACATCGCTCTCGACCACCCCTTCCCTGCTGCAGCCGCTCGGAACAGCCCTTTTTGCTATTTCCTGCAGTGCTAGTTTTCCATCTGCCTTCCCCACCACTTGTTTGTTATTCCAGCAGCCCACATCCATTTCCATTGCAGCCTCACTGCTATTCCTGCCACAAGGAACGCCCCTCTGCAGCCTTGTCTGCCGTTCAAGCCATTCCGAACCACTTCCTTGCCACCTAGCCACTGTCTAAGTCCTTACCACTTGCTTCCATCGCTGTTCCAGTCCTCCATATCCGCCGTCATCTTTATTCCAGCCATCCATCTGCGCTGCCGCTGCTACTCCAGCCTTCCCCCTTTGCTGCCATCATCCCGGAGCTGTGCGACATAGATATCTACTGCGTAGTAGCTGTCCAGAACCCAGGAAATTGTTGCCTTGCTGTTTTTTAATTCCAAACCACCTCGTTCACCATCTCACCATCTTCCTGACCCTCTCCAATCACCACCATCACCACGAGATTTACCCTAATCATGTGTCGTAAGTCGTGTTGTTGTTATTTCCTATTTCAACATATTGCATTTCGTGTTTGTTGTTGGTTCCCTTTCAAGTTCGTTGGGTGTAAACGGCTATTTCCTTTCTTTAATAATATGTTATTTTCCTATTGTGGTTGTGTTAACTCTAATATCATTTGGTATTAATGTCAAAATAACCCTAGTCCTATCCTGGGATTTCTAGCATCCACCAATACCCAACCCAACTTCCACACAAAAAATCCTTCCATTTGCTGAATTTTCAAACCGGTCACCAAAAAATCTTCTTTCCCACTTACCCAAACCCGAATCCTATAACATGCCACGTAGGAGATAATATCAGAGCCTGATTGAGGAGAAATGACGCAATGTTGTTTATTAGAAATCCGCAAAGAAATGTCTAAGAACTTTCTATAGAGGATCTACAACGAGAAATCCTCAAACTGTAATAGAGATTTGCCGCCTTCAAGAGCAAGCAATCCGAAAGGGTCACCCGTAGCTACAATGGTGACTTACAAGATTGAAAGAATGGAATGAATTTCTTCCGACATGTGGATTTCATAGATGAACGTCTACCCCAAAGATTTGACATGAAATATTTAGGAAGCCAATATTTTAAAATAGCAGTAAATTTGTCACATTTTGACGGCCACTTTAGTTCAGACAACATCATTGAGTGGCTTCAGACAGTAGAACTTTTCTTTGAATACAAGAAAGTCCCACCGGACATGATGATGAAATTAGCCACCAACAAACTAAAAAAGAGTGCATTATTTTGATGGAAAAATTTAAAGAGCACGAATCAACGTGAAGCAAAAAAATAAGATCACTACCTGGTCCAAGATGAAATGGGAGATGAAGTGTCAGTACCTATTAGTTCACTACATACCGGATGTTTAGACCACAACTTCAAAAGTGGAAAGACCACATTACCGGGTGACCACCATTTCTTATAGACAAGGATCAACTACAAGATGTTACAGCAAGAGTATACCAATGGGAACATCTAAGCTGACCTCACCTAAGAAGAAACTAATTCACAGTAGATAATAGGTGGAGCGAACCAGTATTCCTAAATTCGTCCTGGCCAGCAAGTATTTCAAGTGTCACAGATTTGGGCATATTGAATCAGATTGCACAGCCAGGAAAACAATTTAATTCACTGATCAGGGAGTAGTTGAAGAAATGACAATATCATAGTAGACACTGAAGAGAATGAGGACACAAAAGAGTATCAGCTACCAGCCAATAAGGAAGAGACATCAACGATTCCAGTTGAATCCAGAAGAAAGATTCTAGCTGAAGTAGCTGTTCTAGAAGCTAGTGAGTCTGACGTAATGGGCATTCATGCAAAGTGTGAGGTTATTGTACCTCAAGCTACCTTTTTCCAAGCATTGAGAGAAGCATCAGTAGGACTGATTTTGGATGTCAAAAATGGACATGAGTTTAAGGAGAAGTAACTAGACACAGGGCAACCTTAGGTAAGAGAATTTCAAAATGTTCAAATATATAACCTACCTCCTAAGTTTACCCTACTGAGGTAGGCCTAACCTATCAGAGATTATGAACTTATGAGCTACTTCTGTGAGGCCATATGGACTCATTTGAGTATTAAATTCAGTTCAGTAGTGTATCCACCGACAAATAGCCATACAGGAAGGATGAAGCACGTTGTAATATTTCTTAGAAGCTTGTTGGGAGAGAAGATCATATAGTGGGATCCATATCCTACCGAAGAAAAAGAAGAAGTCTCTCCTGAGTGATTGCTAGTGAGAGTGGCCTAGCTGGCCAAAGACTTTGTCCCATAATTCATCCTCCCCACATTCTTGTTTATTAGATATATTTAATGGAGCATTAGAAGTGGGAGAAGCAGTCATACAGATGTAGTGGTTCAAGACCTGATTCTTGAGAATACACGTTTATCTACAGTGACAGCTCAGATTATGCCAAAAAAAGACAGATACATATATAGACGCTGCCTACAGGACTGACTTGCCAGGAAATTATGTAGGTCCATCTATCCTCAACTAGATCAACCTGACGTCATACTATACAGATATAAAAGCTTCGACGAATGAGGTGGAAGCTCTCTCACTCTCGGGAAAGATTGACGCAAGAGAGCCCTTTTCCCGATACGAGAGTCACTTGAACAAAGAAGCGACCCGCCTACTTTGCCTGGACCAAACTGGTCCATATTTTCTCCCTTATACGTAGTTGTCTGGTCCTCTTGGGCTACTCCTAGTTATCCTCTTACTATATATTTATTTTTTTTTTGCATAAGTTTAGAGAGTTTTTGGCGTGAATTTGTTTAGGACAACTCCCGATATTCGTTTTCTCCCTTCGAGGCTTATATCCGAGAAATTAGGTTGTGCTCTAGCTGTATCTCTCTCCTAAGGTAATGATTGTGTAGATATGAAATGATATCAATATAATAATGATATATATTTGTTTGAATAACATGTCAAATATTTATATTAATTTATTAAAAATATTAACTGACATGCATATTATTATTTTTTTTCATTGTAATGTTGCAGTTTAAAAGTATAAGTATTCACTGGCTTGTTTAGCCGATAGTTGTTTTAACTAACTTTTCTGGTTTAATTAAATTGTTAAAAATGAGCAATTAATGAGAAAACGTTTATCAAAGACGTGGACAACCATCAATAGGGTAATTTTAATTATATCAATTTAATTTAATTTGTGGTGATTATTTCGTCTATTAAATTGTAGACGAATGTAGAAAATTTAATTTCCACCATCCGGCTGTCTGTTCTTGTCTTGGTTAATTCAAATAACCTTGGTTGTGACAAGAAAGCTTTAAGTAGGAGAGTGTTGTATTGTAACTAAGAGCATTAGGTTACAAATTTGTTTTGAACATTAGCCTTGTAAATCATGGCTACTTTTTAACTGCAATTTTTTTGTTAAAAATGAGTCAGCTATTATTGGTGTGTTCTCTTTACAAGCTTCACTTTACCAAATCTACAGAAAATGCTTCTTCTTACCTTGCCTATGCTGTCAAGGTGGCTGATTCTTCTAATATTGTTGCTGCTAACCCTTTTGGCACCCTTCTTCTACTGCTTCACCTTTGATGTCCTTGGGATGAAAGGTGCTCTGGTGATTTGCTACAAGAGTAATCTATAGTTTTCTATAGTTTTGGTAGATAATAACCACTCATTGTTCTCACCCTCTCTCTAGCACAAAATCAATTTCTGGTCTCTCACTATCTCCCTAATTTGCATTTCAAGGGGCCGTAGACCCACTGAGAGCACACTAGCATGCATAATGCAACAAAAAACAAGTAATTTTGAAACTTCATGTTTGTAAAGGTCATATGATTAATAGCCTTGAAGATAAGCGGCAGACTCATCATTACATAAAGTGGTTCTCAAGTTTGGCGTCATTGAGCCATCATTGCAACAATACGAATTTGTAATGTTTCATACTGCAAGAAATATTGAAATTTCATCTACTTAAAGGAGACATTGTATGAATCTTTTAACTTTAAAATGGCATTTGTGTTGTATGATTTTTTTGTGTGGAGCATATAATTATGTTGCTTTCGACTGCAATTTTTAGCGCTTACTTTAAACTTTAAATATTTTCAGCTGCCTGAAGTCTTATTAAAGGCATTAGCAATGGGTTGTACGTGTTAGCTAACTGTCATGCTTTAGTACATACGTTTGAATGATTGGTTTATATATGTTTATTAGACATATAATATATATTACCACTGTTGATTGCTATATATGTTATCTAGATTTTATTTGTCCGGTTGTCTATGTTAATCAAAACAATTCATATGCAATCAAGTATAGAAGAATATTAGCAGCGCTTTTCCACTAGAGCTTCTCAAACATGCTAGAGAATTGCAATCAACAACTAGCATGATGATGTCAATTTTGTCAAAATTGACAAGAGGGAATATGTTGAAGGTGATATTTTAGGAACAAAGTCAGAGAAAAGAAAAAGGAGTGGAGGCAAACACCAATTGTTTAAGGCTCTTTGGATAAACAATGCTCCCTGGAACATGAAGTGTATGGCGATTTATTTATGTGACAATAAATTTAGAACATGCAATCACAAAGGACAGAAGAAAACATGCAAAGGTTAAAAAAAAAAAAAAGCAAAACACTGGAATGAGCCAACTAAATCTTGCAAGCTAGTAATAGCAATTTACTGACCTCCTGTAAGTTTGATCATAAGTTGTGTTAGGCGTTGCAATTACCAAGCCAGATCTGTTGTCCGTGCATTAAATAGTTTAAAATTTAAGCCATATTGTTTTGCATCGTGGAAATTTGAAGCACAGGTAAGTTAAAATACAATTAGAAATGATTGCAAAGGATGTACACAAGGAAAAATTAAAAATTTTGGGACTTGCGATATGTTCCAGAGAAGAGATCAGGAAGCAAACAACCACGAAACGGTGAGTGATAGAAAGAAAACTCAAAGAGGACTGCTCTAACAAACAAAGGCAACAAGCGAGATACAATGATGAGCAACTTTTCAAGAGGTAGATCGGCTCTCCCACAACCTTAGGCGTTGTTAGAAATACAACAAGAAGAAAAAAAATCAGCAACCAACAAAATTATGCATAAAAAAACAAACCATAGGTTACTCCCCTAATAGAATTCTCTCATAGCATTTCAAAAGCTTTCCTCTCGAGCATTCCCTCCAAACTCCCTTAATTTCTCCTCCTTGAATAGTGATTATGCCCCTTGTGGACCCCACCTGCGCCCGACTTCTTTCTGCTACAGCAAAGTGCCGCTCGGTTTACTTCGCGTGAAAGGGATCGGCCCACCTGCTGTTATGGCAAGCCGGTTTGGTGGCTTTTGACCGGTTCAAGATGGGCTGGTCCTGTTATAGGCGAAACAATACTCCCCTCCCAAAGAAGTACCTTGTCCTCGATGTGGAACGATGAAAAACTGTTTGTGGATCACCTCGTAAGGCTCTCACGTTGTTTCATAGTCTGACACTCTTTTCCACTTAACCAATGCATCCATTGCTCCCCCAACTCCTCGGCGCACTCCTTCAATCTAAGTGGCTCCAAAATCACCTACAAGTCTTCCGTCAGCATCGGCAGTAGTGTAGACAATGTTATATGAACTCCAATCGCACGTCTCAACTGTGATAAATGGAAAACTGGGTGTACTGCGGACGATGGTGGTAGCCACAAACGGTAGGCCACGGTCTCGATGTATGTCATCACCTCATAAGATCCAAAGTATCACGATGAAATTTTCTCGCTTCTCCTCTTGGCAAATGTCTTCTATCAGTAGGGCCTCAGTTTCAAGTAGACTATATCCCTTGGTTCAAATTGCACCTCTCTCCTCTGTTCATCAGCTTTCCTCTTCATGATTTGTTGAGCTCTCAGTAAATACCCCTTGAGCTTTGCTAGTATTTTGTTCCTCTCGTCCATGTATTGATCGACGCTAGTGTGGCGCTATGCCCATAATGTATCAAGTGATGTGGATCCCACCCATACAATATCTTGAAATGGTTGGTCTGTGCGGCGGTGTGGTACAGAGTATTATACAAATATTTAGTCCACGCAATCCACTTGGCATATAGCTTCGGTGTATGGGAAGCAAAACAATGCTAGTATGTCTCCACACTCCTATTGACCACCTCCGTCTGCCCATCATTCTAAGGATGATATGATGTGCTTCTTTTAAGGAATGTCCCTTGCAACCTAAATAGCTCCTTCCAGAAGTGGTTGAAGAACACCCTGTCCTTATCTGATACAATCGATTTCAGCACCCCATGCAAAGCAAATGGACCACTTCCCTGATAAACACCGTCGCGACTGAAACCGCAGTGTAGGGATGTCTAGTTGTATAAAAAAATCGAACACGAATGAACAGAGCTCGTGTTCGCGTTCGATTCGTTTGAAATTAAGTGTGTTCAAAATAGGCTCGTGTTCAAAATAGAATCTAAAAGTCTGAAAAAGAAAGATTATACAGATTTGAAAAAAATTCATTGCTGAGACTTTTTAAACAATTCTACTAAAACAAGGATTCAAAAATCCATTCCAATGTAATAAACAAAAAATGAAATAGCAATGAATTAACTACTCAGATAAACGAAGTCAAGGTTGTGAGATATATCCATCAAGTTTTGCTTCTTAGTTATTATTTACCGGACCTAAAGTGCAAATATGTTGAATATGGTTAAGAGACCTAAAGTGCAAATATGTTGAATATGGTTAAGAATTGAAAAGAATATAGTTTCAGTTCTGCTGAAAAGAAGTTCAATCAAGGAACTAAAAAATAATAAAATAAATAACAAGAGAAAGAAACTGACCGCTTCCTTGGCCTGAAGTTTTTCTGCCCACCCATTCAAAGCATATGGATCATTAACAGCAACACAAATAACAGAATCAATTCCTTTAGCTTTAAAATTTTCGATGTTATTCTTGTAGCTAGGAACATGTTGTTGAGAGCAGACACCAGTATAAGCTCCCTAGCAATGATATTAGATTATATAAGAAATTCAATACATACAAATAAAGAACATATAATTTTGATAATTAGCAATAAAAAAAAGAGCACTGAGGAAGCTTAACTTGAAAAACATCCATATACAAAAACTAAATAATAAAATTGTTAAAAATCCAGTAGGTTAAGTGTGGGGCCACAAAACAATTGAAAATAGATATTTTGATTTACATTTCACAATAAGAAACAACTCGAAGTAGAGCACTAATGAAAATACTATCCAGTATGGCCTGAGAATATTAATAAGTTATAGCATCTATCAGTCTGGAGACTGGTCATTTGAAATTTCTTGGATGATCCCATGATGCTTTAAAAAGAATTTGCAACATTTTTGTCCCTGGAATTTTATGTAATGAAGCTAGCAGTTAGCAAGGTATTCCTAAATGTATACTGGTACCACCCAACACCCCTCATGAATACTGAAAATGAGATCATAAAACTTAAAAACAGTTCTAAAAAGCACAACATCATTATACCAAAAACATATACAAACTCCTCAGCCTGTGTTTAGTACTAGGGTACAAAACATTAAAAATATTGACCCACAATTTTAAAGACCTTGACCATTGCAAAGAGAAAAGAAGAAAAAATAAATAAATAAATAAATAAAATAATATTTTGTATCTCAAAGCGCTACCCTAACTAACCTCTTTCAAAGTTTTCTCATCATTCATATTAAACTCGTGGATCAGTATTTTATACCGAAATGCTCAAAACAAAATATCTCCCATCCCATGCAAGATACTCAAGAATATGAATAAATCCAATTATAGATGAGCTAAAATCAAAAGCTAGAATCAAAGTAATAAAATTTACTTTGGCTATGATTTCAATTCAATCATGAAATTTTCAGTATTAATAATATTGATTGCTTTATCAATTTTAAGATTCATTTTTTATTTTGATTTCAGTAACCGTTTAATATTAAATATTTTAAATTGCAAAAATATCACTAACTTCCTTGCACAAAAATTCTCATCAACTTGGCATTGAGTCAGCACTGGAATGGCTCTTGTAAAAGAGCTAACAATAGTTATTTTACGGAGGAGATCCATTAACTAGTGGGATTGGAGGCTGTGCCTGAGCAACCACAAAGAAAGTGATAGGCTAGCTAGCTTCAAGGTGCGTGTAAGGCGTATGGGTGCTAGGAAAACAGTCAATCTATGCATAACCGCAAGCAAGGCCATCAATGAAAAATCTTTTTAAGTCATCAGTGGAAGCAGTTGATGCTGACAACAATACTATATGCAAAGGTAGCAAATGCAAAGATTAGTCAGCAAGGGCGCGAAGGGCTGACTAGCTGACAGGTGACATGAGGGGGCACACGAGAATTCAAACAATGCATGCTAGTAAATTTGTCTCCAAACCAGGCAACAACAAATCATGTCATTGCAGGATGACAAATCACCATGAGAAGCGAGAAGAAAGTTATTTTTCAAAAAGCTGGCAAGTCATCCCAAAACGGAACTATGTGTAGTCGTCCCATAGAAAGATAAAAAGACATCTCAGTGTAGGATGACAAATCATCTAAATCTAGTGAAAATAAGGGTAACCAGCCTTACTGCTCCAAACACCACCTTCTACCAATCTTCTAGTGTCGTCACCACCCCATTTGCAACCCTACTGATGAACCCGCAACCCTCCAACTTGCACCCAACCTGTGTCTAGCTGCCATACAATACATTTTTCATTGCCCCAAGGTGTCCTTTATGTTTATGTTATTTATTTCCTATTTTTGAACATTCGTCATTGTACCATATTTCAATTTCAACAATTATATTTGCATTTCTTTTGTGCTTTCGGTTAACGCCGGTATGAGAGACTTTCTCTTCCATTGAATAACTGAAACTTGAACATCTTCTTCTCCCTAATGTATTAATCAAGGATGATCTATAAAAAAATGAATGTCATCAATGTGTTTCTATATAAAGAACTCACCAAAATTTTTTATATGGAACCTTAAACATACAATATATTGGTTGAAAAAGTTCATGCGCTTAGTTCAAAAAACTTTACAATGTTCTAGTAGTGTCAAACTAAGTGGCGGTACTCCGAATCATTATATCTTGCAAGCAAGTAATGTGGTGATTCTTGTTATGTATATTGATTACATTCTTCTAACCAAAAATGACACATTAGGCATTGCTGAAATAAAGTAATATCTTCAGAAAAATTTTGTAACCATATATTATTGAATTTACTTCTAATAAAGTAGGTACTCTCTCTATAAAAGAAGCTATGCTACAAAACTTTGTAAATAAAAAGTACTATTGGTTGAAAACCTGCTGACTCGTCTTTGAATTCTCTACAAACATTTGAAAATGAGAAATTTTTTTAGTTGCTTCTTATTATTGGCTTCTTTTTAGAAAGTTAATCCATTTGACTGCCAGCAAACCTGACATATACTTGCTTATTAGTGTAGTAAGTTAATATATGTGAAATCCAAAGAAGAAGCAATTGGAAGGTTGTCATGAGAATTACAAATATGCAGGAAATATCTTGTTAAAGGACTAGTCAATCAGAGATAATCACCTATAGTTGAAGTTTATACATATGGTGATTAGATTGGATCCATTAAATATAGAAAATTAATTTCAATATATTGTATCCTTGTTGGTGGAAATAATAAATCTTGAATAATAAGAAGTAAACAGTTGGGTTAGATCCTGTGTTGAAGCAAAATATAAATATATGGCCCATTTCGTTTGTGAAATGATGCAGGTAAACACTTTTCATGACAAGTGTGAGTTCATCTACACAACCTATGATTTTAAATTTTGATAATCAAGCTACCACTATATTAATAGCGAACCGCATAGTTAACCACCTCAAACTTGATTGTCAAAATATCAAGAACAAGGTTTTGTCGAGTATCATCACTCGTGTTGTCAAAGAAGATCAAGTGGTTGATCTCTTTACCAAGGCTCTCTAATCTTTTTGGTTCTCAAATATATGTAACAATTTGTGCATAGTTGATATACATGATCCAGCTTATAAGGATGTGGGGGCATAAGAAAATGTCAATAAGTTTTCAAACTTTGACAATTTAAGATCAAAGGTGTGTGTTATTATTGATATGTAGAAATCATAAAATCCTATGCAATGTGGACATTTCCTCAACTTATTCATTATCACATTAGGATCCATTGAAGTTATCATAAATTCATATTAACACCATAATGTGCAAATAATCATTGGCCATCCAATGCACTTTGGATGGCCACTGTTGTTATACCAAACTACTTTAAAACAAATAATGGATAGTCAAAGTTGATTGTAGCAAACAGCTTCAAAATCATAGTAGGTTTTGAAGCAACTTGGTATAATCAATTATGGTCCTCCAACGTGCATTGGATGGCTAGAATCTGTAATTGTGCATTGTATTGTTACCACTGACTAAGCAATAACTGAATCCAAGCTTTAGTTGATTTTAAGAAAAAGAGATAGCCGAAACTTGACTGACAAGATGATTGGAAGTTGAAATCAATTTTTTACATAGCATGTGTTACACTACAACTTTTTTTCTGAGAACAATAGTTCAATCTTTTGAGGCATAAATTGCAGTTCGAGGAGACCAAAGAACTCATACAACCAAAGATATACATTTGGGTTTTGTTTCCGCTACAAATAATCCATCATCTCTGCAAGCCATCAATCGATAGAATCTCAATTCCAAGTTCATGGATTGAAATGCGACAACCCGACATAATAATAACATAGAGATAAAAAAAATAGGTAAAAACATAAAAGAAAGCAGCAAACAACTTGACCATCCGAATCATTTGGAAAATTTTGAAAATAAATAAACAAGCATACAAAAAACAACAAGAAGGATTGAGATAAACTTACAGGTAATCCAAAAACGACCACCTTCCTTCCCTGGAAGAACAAATTGGAAATCTTAAAACAATGAATCCAACTACAATGTTCAAGAAATGAGTAAAAGATAAAGAACTATAGAGAAGAGGAGAGAGCGAGCACTTCGAAGATTTCCTTGAGGGGAGTGGTGGAGAAGTTGGAGGAAACGCCTTCGTCCCAGCTGCGGGCCTTCTGGAGGGATGCGCCCGGAGCAGCGGAGACGATATCGGTGCCATTAGCGAGCGAAGCAAAGGCTCTCCTCACCAAGGACAACGCCGCCACTGAAGCGGCAGCTTCGCAGCAGCGGAGGGCCACTCCGGCCGATGCTCGAGCCCTAAGCATCGCAAATGACATTATGCTTCTTCGGATACTTGAATCCTCTTTGAACGGATTGGTAAAAGAAATACTCTAATGTTCTTGCCTCCTTATTATATTATTGTTTTATTCAAGTGTTGTGTTATTATATGTTATTCAATTATTATTTATGTGTTATTATGTTATTATAATATTAAAAATATTCTAAAAATATAATAACACCTGAATAACATACAATAACACATGAAAATATAATAACATCTGAATAACATACAATAACACATGAATAACACATAGGACCGATAACACACAATAACAAGAGATGAATATTCACTTGTGTTACGAGCCGATCAAGCATAATTTCATTAGACTCGCGAAGTTCTGATGTAATATTTTTTCGAGGCCGACAGGATGAAAATAAATTATTACATCTGAAAATCATATTGATAAATTTGATTAAAATAGTCAAAAATGGGGAATCTACCGATTATATATTTTTAATACCAATAACTTTTCTTATTAGATTTTTTTTTCTCTCTATGGAGTACTCCTTGCTTATTTCAGCACTATGATATGATTCGAAAATTGTATTATTATGTGCTTGAATTTGTAGAATCTTAATTAAAAATAAAATCAAAATTTTCCAAAAGACATCAGAATAAATATTTTAAATAAGAAAATGAAAAATAAAATTAGATAATCAAAATTTATTTAAATATAATTTAAAATATTATTAGTTTTGATAATTTAGGAAAAAATGAAGAACATGATTTTAAGGAATAAACATGGCATTCCGACTTCAAAACAAAACGTATTTTTACATAAAATCATTATATAAAAATTTTACTGGCAGAAAAATAAATTATTTATATACCACACTCGAAAAGAAAAAAAATTATTATATAAAAAACTCATGCTTGATTATTTTAATTAGTATATTCATTTATATTTTTAATATAAATGATATTTTCTAAATAACTTATTAATTCATTAAAAGTGTTTGCCCTTTAATTTTTTATTTATTTTTGGTCAAAATGCTCTTGAGGATTTTTTTTTATTTAGAGAAATAATTTTAAATTGAAATAATTGTTCAAATTTCTGAATAATATATTTCATATGATTTTTAAATAAATAAAACTTTATAATGATTTACAATTTTACAATAAAAAAAAATCATAATGTTTAATTACAAAAAGATAAATTACATTTATTTATAATTTATAAATTTTAATAATTATTAATAAAATGAATTTAGTGTTGTCAATTTTCTAAAAATAACTCACAGCATAAAATAAAAATGATGTGATATAAAAATTGCATATAATAGAATTGAAGTCTAATACATCTTGAATGTCAAATTATATATATATATATATATATATGTTATCATATATATATATATATATATATATGCACACACACACCATAAGTCTCTCCTACAGTGTACAGTTATGTCACATGATCATTTATGGTACTATTTGAGCTATATGGGCTCCACTACATGGGTGTCACAATCTAAAGCATGTCGTGATCTATCCCTTAAATAATGGTGATGCTCTTCTTTTGGCCATCATGCTCCTACATTATCAAAAGTAGTGTCCTTTTTTATGTAGTGTGTCTCGGAAGTAGACCAATGATTATATTTGGCTACATAATTCCTGAGACTTTAGTGATTTTTTTCTACTTCGCACTATCATCATTATTTTTCAAAACTAATTGAAGCATATTATTTATCTTCCTGATGAACTTATACTATAAAATTATATTATGTTCAAATTATATCATTTGCCCACCCCATTTTTGGTATGCGGGAGGATTCCGGAACCTCTCTGTTTAGGGATGTCTAAACAGTGGCTTCAGAATTCAATGGGAGTTGACTATACACGTGCAAGGCAGAAATAAGCAAGGTATGTCAACGGAAGAATGGTAACTTGGTCCACGAGGGACATGGGCTCGCTATCGATTTATGAAAGCAAAATCATCTTATCATTGAAGGAGAGAGGAACTAGTCTCCAACGGAGTCGCCAGAAATTGTCGGCTGCCAAACATGGAGTGGGTAGTTTTGAAAAAATGATTTAATTTAATATATAAAAAATACGAGCCCGAACCGGTCTCATATATTTAATAGTTTAAATAAACGAGCACAACACTGCAAGTAATGATCTATTCCAATGAAAGGATATATTTTTTTATAGTGAGACTCGATTAAATAAATTATAGAATCTATGACATTCATTTTGGTCTGCGAAACCGTTCATGTTGACCAACAAATTCTCTTATTTAATATAGAAGATTACATATGATTGATATTAAGCTGGGTTTCAAAGCTCCCTATAGCGCCAAGCTTCTATAGTTAATTACATTTTAATACCAAAATCACTTAAGAATACTCTTGATTCAGATCTGTGATTTTGCCTTCAAGAATTTCAAATTATAAGTTTCTCACGATTGAACATTGAAAGTTCAAAAGGGAACTGTGATTTTTAAGAATCCAAATGAATGAAAGGTAGGAGATGTTACCGACCCAAGGAGAACCTCGATGACCTCTTAAACTATCTTATTGTTTGGCTTTAATTTTGAGAAAAAAGTTATTTTATGTTTCATCTTGCGACTTTTTTTACTTGGGGCTTACACTTGAATGACACAGTTATACAAATAGACTGGAAAATAGGAGGGTTTATGTCATAACGAACGATAACCTCAGAGCCTAAGTCAAGTTATGGCTTAAATTGCACAATGTGAATGTGCAAAAGCCTAAAATATGAATTGAGGATGTACGTCGTACTAAATGGACTATCTCGAAACCCTATGGCTTGCTGTTTAAGCTAAGGAATATATGTTGTTATAGATCTGGTTGCTCTCCCGAAGTTGTTCTTCTAGTCATATTTGTCTTGTTGCCCATGGTATTAGTTCTAAGCTCCTCATTGAAGTGGCAATCTTAAGATTTAAGGTTCAAAAGGTTTTACAGTTTTCACGTTAAGTTTTGTTGTTCAAGTGTTATGGAGGGATTAAAGTTGGTTAGAGCGACACCAGTTAGGATCGAACGGTTCCCTCATTATGGTACCATAATTTTCTTTTAAATTTACTTGGCTTAAATGAGTTGTTATGCTCGTTTAAACTGGGGAGATCTCGCTAGTAACCGTGGGCTCCGAGGGACTTCTGTAAATTCAAGATGATGTATTATGAAGTTTTTGTTTTGTTGTTGTATTTTTAAAATGTTGTTTAATTTTAAAAATAGTTTTGTAATTTTCAGTTTTGAAAAGTTTTGCAAGCAAGTTAAATAAATTCAGGTAAAAAAGATGTTGTAAAGTAAATAAATAAAATTGCAATGCATAAAGTATAAATGCGTACATTTCATCTTCTCGCTATACCCACTGCATGGTTAGCATCATACAACAGAATATATTTGCGGAAATTAAATAAATTACACAGAAGTAAACGAAAGTATCTGGTACGAGAAAGCTAGAAACTGAGTTGTAGCAAAACCCGAGTAAAATGAAAACTTGTATTCACATATAAAAGACCAGAACTGAGTGTAAGACATGGCAAAGGTAGGGGCTCGGAGCTGAACTGTGTGTTTCCCGACCTTAAGCAAGAGCTACCAACCCGATCATCTACGGAGGGCGGTTCTAACCTCGATTCAAGTGATTAACCGTAAACCTTTACAAATTTTCTTTTGAATTTAATTTTCATACATAAACAATTTTATCATGTAAAAGAGACTTTTGTTTAAAATATTTTATAGTGAGAAATTTAATTTTCATACATAAACAATTTTATCATTTAAAAGAGACTTTTGTTTAAAATATTTTATAGTGAGGTGCAGTCCACAAGTTAATCAATCTAATCGAGTTAAGATTACAAACAACTTAAGACTATCGCGGGAAATCATCTTCTCAAGAGTCGTCGAATAGTATCATCAGTCTTTATACTCTCTTTTTATTAAAGGTTCTGGTGGTAAGAGATATTATTCTAAAATCCCTCATTGTATCCCTCGTTTCAACACACATTAGCATTATTGTCATTGCCCTTACCACCTGAACCTTAGACTTACATCAGTTCGATGATCCATATGTAACATAAACAAATATCCTCATTCACTCACAAGCATTTAAATATCTTAGAAAAGACTTAAATCCTTGAGCATTGGGTTGTAAATGTAGGATAAGTAGTTTGGGGTATTTTTATTGATTTATGTAAATTATCGGGTCCCGAACCATAACTTGATGAGTCCTTAAGGATTCGTTTGATTTTTAATGATCGTTTGTGTTTTCAGGATAATTTTCTTCAACAAATCATGGCAGACCCAGATATCCTCTAAAATATCTGGAATCTCTCAAGGATGTCCAGAGAATAACTCTAAACAAACTTGAAATCTTCTAGATCATTTTAAGTTCATTTTGGTCATGCTAGACTGTTAATTAAACCATCTGAACTAAATTAATGTCTTTCTATGTTACGCTCAGTATATATTAATCAACACATAAGTAGGTTAACAACTATTTTGTTCGATGCTTGAACGGGTGATCACCCCAAGAGTGAGTTTAATTACTTAAGGGGGTTTTACTCTCTCTTAATTAAACTTTGAGCTTGTAGTGTTTATGACAAATTATCTTTTCTAATTCTTTTAAATTGTTTCAGATCGACTCTAGCTCACTACCAAGCTTCTAGATCATTAAGGATATATTTGTGATTTAAGTTAATTGATGTTAATCCTTATTAAATGATTGTATAATGCTTAACCTTTTTCTGGGGCTTCAAATTAGTTAATTATTTTCTTCCTATCTCAAGCCCCTCACCTAAGAATCTTCTCTTTTTCTGGGGCTTCAAATTAGTTAATTATTGTCTTCCTATCTCAAGCCCCTCACCTAAGAATCTTCTATACTTAGTCATCTTCTAACCCTCAACAATTGGAGAAATTAGCTGTGGATAATAATAATAGATCAGAGATTCATGCATATGTTAACATCTCATTTTACATGTTTTTTAATCTCTAAATCCCACTGTGGAGGTCTAAAAAAAATTGGAACGCATTGTTAATAAAATCTTTTGGGGTTGGGGAGATTTAAGGAAATCCATC